ATCAAGGTAATGCTGGCTTCATAGAAAGAGTTTGGAAGTTTTCCTTCCATTTTTATTTTTTGGAACAGCTTCAAGAGAATAGGTGTTAACTCTTCCTTAAGTATTTGTAGAATTCCCCTGGAAAGCCATCTGGCCCTGGACTCTTGTTTTTTGGGAGATTTTTGATTACGAATTCGATTTCCTTACTGGTTATGGGGTAAAAATCCATTTTTAAAAAACTCTCTTGTTACCATACATTCCCCTACTGCTCTCTTTCTTTGCTCCACCCACAACAGAATTCTCTGAAAGTGTTTTATTCATTCTCTCTACTTTCTTACCACCACCCATTCTCTCACCAGCCCTCTGCAAGTGGGCTTTCTTCCCCATCACTCCCCTGAAATGGTTTATCAAGTTTACATTAGCAGTATTTCACATAATTCACCACTCCTTCCTTAACATTCAAAACTTTTATACATTTTTTTTTCTCTGAGCTTCCATGACACCATGCTTGTCAGGGGGTTTTCTTCCTACTAAACCAAGTCACTTTAGTTTCCCTCCCCTCATCAGAACTCTGATTGTTGGAGTATTCCCAGAATACCATCCTTAGCTGTCTTTTTGCTACTGAAGCTCTCTCCCTGAGTGATCTCATATTTTACCACAGCCTCACATATCGATGAACTACCAAATTCATACCTCTAGCTTGGATCTCTCAGCTGAGCTTTAAATTTTAGTATTGAGCTGCCTACGTAAAATGTCCACTTGGCAGGGCGCCTGGGTGGCTAGCTCAGTTAAGCACCCAGCTCTTGATTTGGGCTCAGGTCATGATCTCATGGTTTATGGGATTGAGCCCTACCTTGGGCTCTGCCCTGGTAGGGTGGAACCTGCTTGGGATGCTCTCTCCTTCCCTCTCTCTGCCCCTCCCCCCCTCCCTTGCATCTCAAAATAAATAAGTAAACATTTAAAACTTATTATGATTTGCCATTACACTTCATCCAAGCTTCTTTTTTCTTTCTTTCCTTTTTCTTTTTGAATGTTTATTTTTGAGAGAGAGAGAGAGCACAAGCTGGGGAGGGGCACAGAGAGAGGGGGACAGAGGATCCGAAGCAGGCTGTGTTAACAGCAGGGAGCTGGATATAGGTCTCGAACTCCCGAACCATGAAATCATGACCTGAGCCAAAATCAGACACTTAACTGACTGAGCCAACCAGGCACCCCCATCCACGCTTCTTACTATGGCCTGTCTCCACTCTCCCCCTCTTTCACTCCACTTAGCTATACTGGCTTTGTCTCTCTTTGTTCCTACAAATATGCTAAGTTCATTCTCATATCAGAGTCTTTGCACTTAAGCTACTTGAGGACAAGGGCCATCTTGCTTTAATTGTTGCTGTAGTCCCACCTTCCACAACAATTCCTGGTGCATAGTAGATTCTCAGTAATTATTTGGGGCCCAGCACATTGTCTCATGAATCAACTCAGGAAGGGCAAGAAGACTGCCAAGTAAGGTTTCACTGTCTCCGGACACCAGCCAGAGGGAAGAGTATGTGCAGAGGTTGAGATGTGAGAAAGGCCATGGCAAGTTAGTAGGCAACAAAAAAGTTCAGAATGATCTGCATTACTGGAGCATAGTGTTGAGGAAGAAAAGCAAAAGAGAGAAAGCTATGCATCTCTAGTTTTTACATGGCCTAAACCCATTTTTAGAAGTTTGGACTTTTATTTCAGAACCATTAGGAAGTTATTGAATAGTTATAAGCAAACAAGTGTTTGATAAAGATTTATATTTGAAAAAGATCATTCTCAAAGCACCTGGGTGGCTCAATTGGTTAAGCATCCACCTTTGACTCAGGTCATGATCTAATGGTTCATGAGTTTGAGCACCATATCGGACTCTGCACTGGGATTCCCTCTCTCCCACTCTCTCTGCCCTCCCCCACTTGCATATGCATGTGAGCGCGCGCTCGCTCTCTCTCTCTCTCTCTTTCGCTCTCGCTCGCTCTCACTCCCTCTCAAAATAAATAAATAAACTTTTTTAAAAAATTTTAAAAAGGGTGCCTGGGTGGCTCAGTTGGTTAAGTGTCCTGGTCATGATCTCGCAGTTCATGGGTTTGAGCCCCATGTCAGGCTCTGTTCCTGTCCCACTCAGTTTCTCTCTCTCTCTCAAAAATAAATAAACATTAAAAATTAAAAAAAAAAAAAAAGTTTAAAAAAATAAAAAACATTTTGGCTGCACTATAGCACATTTATTAGAGAAGAAATTCAAAGTAATCCTGTGAGACCTGTTAAGAAGTTACTTCAGCTGTCTAGGTCAAAAACTAATGGTGCCTTAGGCCAAGGTTTTGGCATTTGAAGGAAAAGTCGATGATGGATTGAAGAGATAGTTAGGAAATAATGACTTACCTGATATGAGGGATAAGTGAAAAATGACACCAGCTTTCTGTCTTTAGAAAAGGCACATAAGGTGCAGGGGTGGCTCCGTCGGTTAAGCTTCTGACTTCGGCTCAGGTCACGATCTCAGTTTGTGAGTTTGAGCCCACATTGGGCTCTTTGCTCTCAGTGTAGAGCCTGCTTCAGATCCTCATCTCCCTCTCTCTCTGCCCCTCCCCCACTCTCAAAAAATAAAAATAAACATTTAAAAAAAACTGTGTATAGTGATCCCTTTCACTGAAACATAGACTATAGGAAAGGAGCAGGTTTCATTTGGTGTAGGGGAAGAAGCAGGAGATATGTGTTCAGTGTAAAAATGTTAAATTCTGACATGTGGCTTTCCTTCTATCCATTGATCAAGTTCCTTAAAAGAGTGTTATTATTGGGGCGCCTGGGTGGCGCAGTTGGTTAAGCGTCCGACTTCATCCAGGTCACGATCTCGCGGTCCGTGGGTTCGAGCTCCGTGTCAGGCTCTGGGCTGATGGCTCAGAGCCTGGAGCCTGTTTCCGATTCTGTGTCTCCCTCTCTCTCTGCCCCTCCCCCGTTCATGCTCTGTCTCTCTCTGTCCCACAAATAAATAAAAACATTGAAAAAAAAAATTAAAATAAAAAAAAAAGAGTGTTATTATTCCATGGTCATATTTGTTCCCATAGATCTTAAGTAATGTTTGTATCCATCTGATAATCTTGTCCTGATAACAAATCTATCTTGATTTTAGCATCTCAAAGTAAACTTTCTTGATTGGTTTTCTATCACGTGGATTAATTGGTAGTATGATTTTAGGATTTGTGGGGCACATTAGTACCTGGAATGCAGAAAATTATTGGTTAAGAAAAATTACCTTTTTTTAATGAGTATATTTTGGTAATAAAAATAATAATATTTATCTTAGGTCTAAAAAGCAGCCTCAACTCCCAAATCTTTCTTCCACTTAAAATGTTCAACATCAGCTAATTTTGAATGTCTCAGTTCCACATTTCCAGCAGTAATCAGATTGGTTGACTCAAATATCCATTCCTGGTCCAATAAGCTAAGGCCAGAGGGACAGGCAGGGTCAGAGAGACTTCAGAGCTCCCCCTTCCAGCTTATGGAAATGATTTTCTCCGAGAATTGAGGAAAGGAAGAAGTTACATCTTTTAATGTTTGTTTATTTTTGAGAGAGAGAGAGAGAGACAGAATGTGAGCGAGGAAGGGGCAGAGAGAATCCGAAGCAAACTCCAGGCTCTGAGCTGTCAGCACAGAGCCTGACACAGGACTCAAACTCACAGACCACGAGATTGTGACCTAGCTGAAGTCGGACACTTAACTGACTGAGACACCCAGGCACCCCAGAAATTACATCTTTTATATAATTTTTTAATTGGGATCATATTGCTTTTGCACTTCATATATTCGAAGAGTTTTTCTCTTTTAATGAGTATTCAGAGTTTTAATGGTAAGTATTCAGTCAACAATTTGATACAATTAAAAAATGATGACAACTTACTGATTTAGAGTCTAAAGTCAAGATGTTGTAAACTTCAGATTAATTGGTAGTGCTGTAGAAAATCTATCGTTTAAGTGGTTAAGGTACAGTATTAGGGCAGATAAAGAGCATATACTAATTTTAACACAATCTATATAAAATGAATCTGTAAAGATAATTCTTGTTTGCCAGTTAAATTCTTTTTATGAGACTTTCCCTAACTTGTTAAGATGATAATATTTGCTTTTGTAGTGTTTGAGAGAAAGAAAGCATTGAACTCTTTGTCTACCCACTCTTAACTATATTAAAAATCATAATGAGATGTTTTTTGTTCTCACAGTTCAAATAACCAGAACGAAATCATGACCATACTGTTTATCCCAGCTAGCTGTGGTCTAGAGATTGAGAAGGAACAGAAAGAAATGAAAGATTTTTTCTTATCTCCTTGTGTGGATGTTTTAAACATATATTGCCATATACTTGTGCAGTACATAAAGTGTTTACATATTTCATGTAGCTCTTTTGATTTAGGATATGTACAAGGCTTATTTGATTATTAATGAAAACACACTCATTTGACCTAATTTAATGAGAAAAATCTCAATGTTAGCTTAATCATTCTAGCCTAATTCTTCATTTACTACTCTAAACAATGCTTTATTCCTAATACTTGGCTATGTGACATTGTGACCGGCTATGAATATGGCTGTTCATTTTTCTCCATCCTCAGCCATAGTGCTTCCTGATTGGTTACGTTTCAGAACATTGCTGTAGATCAGTGGTTCTCAACCAAGGACAGTTTTGTCCCCCCAGGGGACGTTGACAATGTCTGTCATTTTTGGTGGTCACATCTGGGGTGCTATTGGCATCTAGTAGGTAGAGACCAAGGATGTTGCTGAACATTCTGCAGTGCATAGGACAGCCCCCTCAAACAACAAAAAATTATCCCACCCAGAACGTCAGTAGTGCTGAGATTGAGAAACCATGATCTAAATGTAGCAAGATGAAATTGTGTGTCCCAAGCAAGTCATGTATGAGGTTCCGGTCAGTTACTCTCTGAACAGTAGGTGTCACTCTAGTCCAGAGATTTCAGTTTATTAGGATTTCCCAGTTACGTCTTGTTCTGCTTCCTCAGATCCTGCCAGTTTTACTGAGATAACTAAAGACTGTGATGAGAATAAAGAAAATAAAACTCCAGAAGGATCTCAAGGAGAGGTTGATTGGCTCCAGCAGTATGATATGGAACGTGAAAGGGAAGAGCAAGAACTTCAGCAGGCATTGGCTCAGAGCCTTCAGGAACAAGTAAGAGATACTTCTATTGCTGTTTTCTCCTTACCTGTCTTCCCCAATAACAACAACTAACATGCATTAAGCACTTACTGTGTGCCAAGCATTGTTCCAGGTGATTTACATACACTAAGGCATTGGTCCAGCAAAACAAACAAACTTGTTTGGAACTTTGCCTTGGTTCTGAAACAGAAACAGTGATAGTTTTTCTTTTTTTGAAATTCCAAATGCAACAAAATGTATTGTTGATTACTTCCCATTAGTGTAATTCGTTGCATGCTAAGGCAGGATGGGTTATTACACATCATCCCCTGTCCAACTTTATTTTGCAAGCTTTAGAAATAGCCAGCATACCACCATGATTTTTTAATATTTTAAGGCATTGTTCTGGTCACTTTCTCACAATATGAATTCTTTCCTATGAATTATTTGAGCATAAAATTCTCAGGGCTATTATCTGAATAATATCTGAAATTTCAGCTTTCAGTCATAGACTGGAAAAGATGAACATTTATCCGCTCTTTTCTTATATAGTAATCTAATCTTAAATTTCTAATTCTTCATACTTATATTTGCCAAAGCTGTTGCTTTTGCCTGAGGTATTGCAGTTGCCTAAGGTATCTTGACTAAAAGGTGATGTTTTCATGGTTGTGTGATCCTATGCAATCCACGTCATGTTAGTAATAAAAATTTACCAAAACTCCCTAGAATGAGCACACCATTTTAGTGTTTACAAATAATCAGATTAATAAATCTAATTTGTCTGGGGGCACCTGGCTGGTCAGTCAGTAAAGCATGTGACTCTTGATCTCCGGGTTGTAAGTTCAAGCCCCTCATAGGGTGTAGTGATTACTTAAAAATAAAATCTTAAAATCTGATTTCTCTAGAACAGTGGGGTTCATTCTTAACTGCACATTACTATCATCTGGGGAGCTTTAAAAAATACTGATACTTGCATTGTTCTTCCCCTCAGGAATTCTGATATAATGGATCCTGGGGTATGGTCTGGGCATCTAGATATCTTTCCTTTTCTCTCTCTCCCTCCCTCCCTCTCTCTCCCTCCCCCTCTCCCCCTCCTCCCTCTCTCTCCCCCTTCCCCCTTCGTTCAGCCTCCCTTCTCTCCTTCCTTCCTCCTTGCTTCCTCCCTCCTCCTTACTTCTTCCTTCATTTTTTTTTCAGTTTTATTTATTTATTTATTTATTTTTATTTATATATGAGAAATTATTGTGTCAAATTCTGGTTTCCATACAGCACACCGGTGCTCATCCCAAAGGTTGCCCTCACTCATGCCCATCACCACCTCTCTCCCTCCACCCCATCAGAAAGCCCTTAGTCATTCTCTCTTCAGTTCTCAACAGTCTCTTATGTGTCTTTGAAAACTTCTCCTCCCCTAACCTCTTTTTTTTTTTTTCCTTCCCTCCCATGGGTTCACCAAGTTTCTTTCAGGATCCACCCCCTTAAGGAGTGAAACCATATCTCATGTCCCTACTCTCATGGCTTATTTCACCCAACATCTGGTCTCCAGTTCCATCCATTGCTACAAAGAAAGGCCATATTTCATTTTTTTTCTCATTTGCCTTACATTAGTACTGCATTGTGTATATAAACTACCTAGATTTCTTTTATCCATCATCAGTTGATGTGGACATTTTGGGCTCTTTCTCCACTGTTTGGCTATTGTTGTTGAGTACCTTTATGAACATTGGGGGTACAAAGTGCCCCCTAGCCTCCTCCCGATACTCTGTCACTGGATAAATTCCACACCAATGAGATTGCTATTGCCACTTGAGGTCATGGGGTGGGTCTATTGCAATTTTCACCAGGGAACTCCACACTGCTTTCCAAATGTAGGCTGCTGCACCAAGAATTTGCATTCCCCACAACTTGAGTTACAAGAGGGTTCCCCGTTTCTCACATCTCTCCTCCAACATCCCTATGGCCAGTCTCCTGATTTGTTCATTGTTTTAGCCCACTCAAACTGGCATGCAGGGGTGATATCTGAGTGTGGTTTGTTTGTAGCTATTTCCAAGATAAAGGCGGCGCTGAACTTGTCTTTTTTCTTGTGCTACTGTTGGCCAGCCAGATGTCTTCTTTAAAAGTGTCCTAAACCTTCATGTTTCCTGCCCATTCTTCCAAGGGTTATTTTGCTTTTTTCGGGGTGGGTTTGGTGAGCTCTTTATAGATTTTGGATACCCTTTATTTCCGATGTCATTTTGCAAATATCTTTCCATTCCGTTTAGTTTGCCTTTTTTCTAGTTTTTTGTTGGTTCTTTCTATGTCTTTGTGCAGAAGCTTTTTTTATCTTCTTAAGGAGTCCAATTCACTTTTGCTTTAATTCCCATACTGCTTTGGGATATTATAAATGGCAGTTGCTACGGCTGAGGGACTCAGAAGGTCTTTCACCCACTTTCTCCTCTGGGTTTGCATTGTTTCCTGTCTCCCATTCAGGTCCTTTGTTTTTGAGTTTATTTTTTGTGAATGGGTGTAGAAAGAAAGTGGATCCCAGTTTCAGCATATACTTTATCAAGCTTTTCCTTCAGTTCTCCCACAGCACCATTTGTTAAAGAGACTGTCTTTTCCATTGGATGTTTGCTTTCCTGTAACTTTTTTTTTTTATTCAAAGATGGTTAAGCCATACGTTTGTGGGTCTAGTTCTGGGGTTTCTATTCTATTCCATTGGTCTATGTGTCTGTTTTTGTACCACTTCCTTCATTTTTTAAAACCTCCCAGTGATTCTGCTGTTCAGTCAAGGCTGAGAACTGCTGCTTTAAAATGCTTTCAGAACCAGCTGTTCTGTATCCTTTTATTTGTGAGAAGTATCTCCCTAGCTGCCTCATCATCAAGATGTATTTATGTCAGCTATTTTGCAAATAATGGATAGTAATCATTTGTTTTAGAAAACTTATTTTTCATCTAAAAGACCAAGGTCTGATTTCTTAACAATAGTTCCTTATAGTGCAGAGAAAGAAAAAATTCAGCATACCTCTTTTTCATGCACAAAGGACATATATCCTCTTTCTTGTCAGCTACCCAGTTAAAACTATCTTATGAACCTATCTTCACATCTGAGAATAGAATATGAGGTCTCTTCAGTTTGGTATACCTGCATCATTCTATTAATAGCTAAAAGAGTATCTTTTACCATCTGGGTTTCAGCACACACTTTATATGCTGGATGAGTTTAAGTAATCATATTTCCTCTTAGAGAATATCTGTTTCTTTCCTGAATACAGTATTATTGCTCCCAGGACTGTAATGCAGAATAGCTCATTCTAAGCTTCTTATATACTTTAGTAACTATAAAAACAAGTCTAAACTTGGGAAAAGTATAAAACGGTTCTGCTTAAATTACATCTTTTCTTCATTTATGCATGAAGTTTATAAATTTCTCTGCAGATGAGAGGGAAAAATTTTTAGAGTCAACATTTCCCTATTTTTATAATTAGTCATCAGTTTGACATTTTCACGGGTTCTTGTCTTTCTAAGAGAACCTCAGATGTATTAGAAAAGTAACAGCAGCATTCATTTAGTATTCACCAAGTATCTGTTATGTGTGTCAGGGGTTTTTTTAAGCAAGAAAAAAATAGAAAAAAATAAAATAGAAATGTTTGAATAATGATCTTGTGGAAATTGTTTCTGTTGCTGTCATAGACTTAGGGACAGTAATACACTAGGACCAGCTCACCGTCAGCTCAGGCGTGCCCACCTCTTCCCAGCCGTGCACTCAGTATCACATTGGTAGCTTAAACTTTGCCACAGTGGGAGTATTTATACCACGGAAATGGGCATATGCTGTAAATCAGAGGAAAGAAAACAGAGCAACTTGCTAAGTAGGTTCTGCTGTGTGCCAGGCATTTCATACATACAAGAAGAAAGGGAATTAGTTAGATCACACTGTCACAGTGAATGGCTTTTGGTTAGCAAGCCAAATGTGACTGACTAGAAGAGATAACATGTAAGCCCTTTTAACCCCCGAGGTTGTGTTTTAGGAAAACAGGTTGAAAAAAGTAAAGGATTTCTCCACATCCCTCAAAAGGTCATACTCCATACATTTGTAAGATTATGGAAAACATTGTGAGCAAATGCTTTTAGCGCGGTTGATCTCATCCTTGTTAAATAAGTTTAATCAGTACCTTTTTAAATACCTTAGTTTTGTTTTTGTCCCTTTAGGAAGCTTGGGAACAGAAAGAAGATGATGACCTCAAAAGAGCAACAGAGTTAAGTCTTCAAGGTGTGGAGATTATTTTAATTACATTGTTTCTATGGTGAACTGTATTGCACACAGAAAAACATGTAAAGTATTATTTTAATGACAATAACAAATTTTAACACCTTCAAGGTAAAGAAATAGAACCTTAGAAATTGTGTACCCACTTCTTCCCTCCACCCCAAGAGAAAACCACTGTTCTAATGTTTGTATCCATCAGTAGCTTTTTTAAAATATTTTTATTAAAAAAACATTTTTTTTAATGTTTTTACTTACTTTTGACAGAGAGAGAGACAGAGAACTAGACAGAGGGAGGGGCAGTGAGAGAGGGAGACACAGAATCTGAAGCAGGCTCCAGGCTCTGAGTTGTTAACACAGAGCCCAACGCGGGGCTTGAACTCATGAATTGTGAGATTGTGACCTGAGCCGAAGTTGGACGCTTAACCAACTGAGTGACTCAGGCACACCCCGGTAGCTTTTTAAAAAAAAAATAATTTGTCATCTCTATCCATATCACCCCTCTTTTTTTTTTGAAAAATTACATAACAAAGACATGTGAAAGAGCATTTTGCCATGATTAGAACTACTAGAAGATAATGTGGCCTCAGTTTCCCTGTGAATTTACAAGAGTTCACTCTTGGAAAATCAGTGGGCAGAATCATGAGTATTTAGAAACATAATGCTCACCATAGTTGTGGCATGTGGCAGAACTAATATATGGACCAGATACTAGAGGTCCACAGGGACATGTAGTCATGGGAAGCAGGCTCACTTTTATTTTCCAAGATCACTAGTCTTTCTCTGGTTCTCAGAAATAGATCAAAACAGAACACTTTGGTACAAATTGAGTGCTCTAGGCTGATCTAAACACCAGGGCATAGAGCAGAGAGCCTGAATTTTGCTGGCACATAGTTGAGGCAATTACAAATAAGAATTGAAGCTAGATTTCACCCAGGCATTCTGTGCTCTATTAGAAAGATGGTATAGTAGTGGCATTAATGGCTGTCACAAGTCACATTGCTCCAGTCTGGACTGGTTGCCCTTTACATCCATGCACAGATACCCTGAGAGCTCCCTAACCATTCTCCTAGGGATTCCCTCTGATTCTCTCCTTTGTTTGAATCTCTCATTCCCTGTATCTCACCCTTCCTCATTCTTGGTCTACTTGTGTACTTGTGCTTTTTTTTTTTTTTTTTTTT